CAAACAGGATCCTCTTGCTTCCTCTCTGTTGGATGCAGAATCAGTCCAGTTCTAGAGTCAACTTTTCCCTTTTATACAGCCTTCATCTTGATATTCTTGATAGATATGTGTCAGAAAAAGTGGTTTCCATAAACTTGAAGTCTTACTGATGGCAATTATCACATCTGTCAGATTAGCCCTGACTCCTCCATTCTCTGTTTCATCTTATTTCAGTCCTTGTTCTACTCTTAGAGCACCGCTCCATTGAACTTCACCTTGTCTTCCTCCCACAAATACTCTACTAATGCAGTGTGGGCATCATTGTCATGTCTGGGACAAAATAGTAAATAGGAAAACAATCTCTGTTACAGAGTTTACATTCTAGCAGGGCAGATGGACAACAAACACACAAACAGGAAATGTAGTATATGGTAAGACAGAGAAGACACAAAGCAGGGTTGGGAGGTCGAGAGGAAGGTGGGGGATATCATTTTAAATAGAGTACTCACGGCGGGCCTCTCAGAGCCTGAACACCACTAGTGCCCTGAGCTGCGTGGCGGCTGCACTTGGCGGAGGCCTGTGGTGAAGTGAGGGAGATGCCTGCTGCCCATTTTGTGTTATGCTCCCACGTCAGGCCCAGACTGGTTGGAGACCTGCCCCCCACCCTCAGGAGTGTGAATTCTCTGCAGGTGGAAGGAACCATAACTCCTGGAGGTGGCCGTGTCCCACCAATATCTCCCTGGAGTAGAGAAATCAGCCTGCAGATGACAAGGGCAGGAAGTGCTTGTAGAGTCAGAGCAGAGAGGAGATCCTAACAGCTTTACAGGTGTTTCCAGGTTTGTGGGCCGGCTCCATCCCACACTGGGTGCCATTAGACAACTGCAAACTCACAGTAAGTCCTTCTTTTTTGCCTTTGTGCTTGAGGTTGTTCAAATGGGAATTTGTGGAAATCAAAGAGTCTTGATTAGTTGTTACCCACTCCAGTGCTTGAGGAATGTTTATAAAATTTCAAAGCAAATATATGAAAGGAAGATGTGATAGTTACTTTCATATCAACTTGACTTGGCTCAGGGATGCCCAGATAGCTGGTAAACATCATTTCTGGGTGTGTCTGTGAGAGTGTATCTGGAAGACACTAGCATTTGGTACAGTAGATGTGGTAGAGATCTGTGCTCACCCGTGTGGGTGGGCATCAGCTAATCCTTAGGGGCCCACATGCATCAAAAATGTGGAGGAAGGGTAAATTCTCTTCTTCCTGAGCTGGGACACCCATTTTCTCCTGCCCTTAATCTGAGCTCCTGGTTCTTAGGCCCTCAGATTTATACCATACCAACATTTTCTTGGGCCTTTGGCGTCAGAGTGAATTCCACAACTGGCTTTCCTGGTTCTCTAGCTTGCAGATGGCCAATGGTGCTATTTTTCAGCTTCTATAACTGTGTGAGCCAATTGCTATAGCAAGTTTCTCTCTCCTTATATATGTGTGTATATAAAGATTATATATACAAGCATATCTATGAATAGATGAGGTTCTATACATGCTCCATTTGTTTCCTTTCTTGGGAGAGTCCTGCCTAGTACAGAGGATATCTGACTACTCCATGCCACTGCCTTTCTTCTTAAATACTTCAAGCACTGGCTGCATTTTGTATTTCTATTCCATGTTTTTATTAGTTGTACATTTTTCTCAATCATCTCTCCTTCATCTTGTACATCTTTGTCACTTTTTCTACTTTCTCTTTCCCATTTCTATTGTTTTTGTAGTCTTTTTTATTAACTTTTTACATGTTGCCTTTTTTACTGAGTGTCTGTGTAACTTCTTACAACTCCTACACTCACTTCTTCAATTTGAAAAAACCCGAAGACCAGAGAGCAGAAGCATTTGCCCAAATGGGTGAATCTAAGTCTGCCAGCCACCTGGGTAGGCCTCTTCTCTGCCCTTTCTCCAATTTCTATGACAAGAAATTCTAGTGTGAATAAGTAGAAAGGAGGTACAGATAAGAGTTAAAGGTATTATGAGAGCACAGAGGGCCCTCTTTCCAACCCTTCTACATGCATCCCAGTGTCCTTTCCCAAAGTTGGATCTCTCTCTACTGGGACTCCCATTCACCGAGGTGTATAAAAATGACCAGAAATCTCTAGCAATAATTTCACAGGTTGCAGCTTTTATTCAGAGTTCTTCCTGTCTCCAGGATGCCCTTAAGCCCTGAAGTTCTGCCCAGGGTGAATGGTTGCTCACAAGTCATGATGACTCTCTTAATAAGGGCCTTTCAAAGTTTATGCTGACATTTCTGGGGTGGCTGCAGTGAGGTATCTGCTATGCTTTTGCATTTGGTCCTCTTCTCCTAGGACCCATGACACAGAGTTCATCTCCCTCATGGATATGCCTAAACTCAGGCATCTAAAGAACTTTGACCCAGCCCTAAATTGTGGAATGCTCACAGGCACATAAATGCAAATTTAGTTTTAGGGATAGCTCAAGGGTTTGCCAGTTCCCCAAACTGAACATACAATTCCCCATCTCATTTTTGAGTAACATATGTTGAGCACTAGGTCTGTCCTAGGTACTGTGCTATGAATGTTAGACGTGGTTACACATTAGCTCTCACTATGGATGTTTACCATGTGAAGTTTGTTAGGATCCCCATTTTAAAGGTGAGGATATGGTTTAGCATGTCTGAGGCTGCACAACAGGTGAAGTGTGTGGATTTGAACTCAGAACTGTGCAATTCAACAATCCATAATCTTGACCACTATGCTATGCACTGCCTTCTGTAATGTAAATACATAAAATAAATATTTACAGAAAAGTGAACCCTTAATCATAGTCCTGGGTGTAATCGGTATGCATTCCTTATTTGTCATTCTAATTTTGAGCTCTTCCTATCCAGTTGCCAGCCTTCCTCCCAGCTCCCCAGGTGAGCTTTTACCTCTTTCCTAACCTGTAAGCATTACCCGATTTTCCGGCTTGACAGAATGTTGAGAATCTTATGTTTTGTGCCATCCCAAGTTATTTCACTACTCTTTTCCTTCCCAGGAAGAAAGATGAATATTCAGTGGCTCTGGCCCAAAATCATTCCCTTGGATTTAGAGCAAGCCAATGGACAGCTCTCCCCAGTCCTTACCGCACCCACGGCCAGCAGGGTATCAGTGGCATTGCTATTTGGCAGCTAAATAGTGGGTCTTGTTTGAAAGTGTATTGGTCCCCTCATCCTCCCCTTCTATGACTCCTACCTTACTGCTTCCTGTCAGAAGGCTTTGGAAGCCTTTTGCACCATCAAATAGCACCATTTCTTTTGGTAGTGCTGTGTTATTGAGATAATCCTGGTTTCTAAAAATGTCAATACATCTAAAAATGTAATTAGGTGCAATTCCTACTTGGTTAATTTGTGTGTGGTTTGGTCTCATATATTCTATCTGCTAGCATAATGCTTGCTTTTTTCTTCTTCCAGAGTTGACATTTTCATTATTGAAATAAAAAGTCATAGAACTGTCATTCATGAAGAACTCCCAATTAGAAAACATTGTCCTGTTGCTTTCTTCTTGCTGGAGTTTGATGGGGCTACTTTAATACATTTTAGTTGACAGGACTGGTTTGCTCAATTGGTTTGAACATCATTCCAATGAGGGCAAGGGTGTACATCCCATCTCTGTAAGATGTTAGTATGTTCTCCTGGGCCCTGGGTGCCCCAGTCTCCGTGGGAATCAGCTCACGAGGCTGAGGAGACTCAAAGACATCCCCACTTTAAGCACAGATAACATGTTTTGGACACAAAGGGCTGTGTATTGTATTGTTTAGTTGATGGGTGTCAAACACCTGGCTTGCTAAAAGTACTTGGGGGAAGAAGAGGAAGGAATGGTATTTTCAAGGAATAAAAATAGAAATGAGCAATAATGGTGTGAATATCACTTTGGTTCTTTAAGGCAGAATGGACTGACTGCACAACTAGGGGAAGCCTAGACAATACGCTGAGTCAGGCAGTGAAGTAATACAGAACCATGAACTGCTGCCTCTCTAATGTCCTGATTACATTTTCTTTGAGGGACCTATTCCTCCGTTCACCCACAAATAGATATGTGTTTATGGGAACAGGGGAAAAGTTATAGCAAAGTACCTTTGCTCAGAAAGGACTCATTAATCAAGCTGATTCCAGGCACTAGAATGTGGCTAAATGCTGTGGCAAAAATAAAATAAAATCAGGTAACTTAGGGTTTCTTAGTCACTTTTTGCTGTTTAAGACAATAAATGCCTTCTTAGGTTTTGGACCTTTGCTCAAGTTCAAATCTCTCAGAAGTGGAGGTCAAGACATGAATCAAGTATATTGCGAGAATTTTTTACTTTTAAGCACAGACATCGTGATGTAGATGACGTCATGTTCGTGGAGCACACAGGTACATACTAGGTTCTCAGCGGCTGTGTCACCGTCACCTTCATTTGTGTGGTTCAGCTGGTGTAATTTTTAGTCATTCTGAATTCCTCCACATAAACACTAAGTGTAAGGATTAAGCTTTCCATTTAAGGGCTACCTGTTTCCCCCAGTCAGCATTTGCTCCATGTAGTGGTCTGCCTAGTGCTTTCCTGTCCCTTCAGTTAGGCTTAATTCTTTTTCAAGCTTTTCTACCCGTTGGTATGTTGCTTGAGTGAAGCAACTTGTGATCTTGTGATGTCTCTTTTAGAGTTTCTAAAGCCAGAAGACCCTGCTCCCAAGGTGCTCCCCAGGAGTAAGTTGTGCAGTCAGTCCATGCTGCCTTAAAGAACCAAAGTGCAGGTCCACTGCAAAGGATCAAAGCTATTGCTGCAGACAGACCTTCAGGATAATACCAGCGGACCAGAGTCACAGGTACTGATGTATTTATAATTGCTTAGAATTTAAAAGGGAAAAAGTACAACAGTGATATAGTTTAAAAAATAAGTAGTGTTGTGGGCAGAGGATACAACCTAGTATCAGTAAGGATTTTGCACCAACAGCCTCGTTCCTTCTGCTGCTGAGTCTCTCAGCTCTTCCAGCAGGCGTCACTATAATCATGCACAAACATTCCACAGCATGGTATGCAACTTTATTTTTCTAGCATAATAATTTAAAGTATTTACACACTGCGCACTCACTGTTTTACACAGATACTTACTCATACACCTATGAACCACATCTAAAGGTTTCTTTGCAAAGACTCGACACACCATGGAGGTTTCCAAGCATAACAAAGAACAAAAAAATGTTTTGAGTCTTAAAGACAGCCATGTGGCGCATCTGTGAAAACCAGTGTTTTCCCCCAAGTTGAAAGCTCCTCCAGGAAACCTGTGAACAGCTGCAGCTTCCATGTGTTGTCATGAAACCCTGTAACTCTTCTTGTTAAGGAGGATTTTCACAAACATGTCCAACTAGCACTTTGTCTAGAAATCCTAGAAAGCAGGAGAAAATAACCCTGGCCCTTTAGAGAAGTACCTGTGTTTCTGAAAGTTATCTGTGGGCACTCTAAAGGTTGTACAGGAACACTGGCTATAAACAGAGACTAGCTCAATACACTGCCATGAGTTCTAGTGACGTAGGACGCTTTCAAGCATCCTTTCCAGCTAAATGACAGGGCCAAACAACGCAATTTCTATTAGTAGCGGTGGTTGTTCTGCTCTCCCTGAAAAGGACAAAGGTATATTAATCATAATACAATCTAAATCAAGATACATCTATTGTTATTTCACTTTTATACTATTTGCACAAAAGTAGTGGTTAGAAGTACCCTAAATATTTGTCCTTTGTTCTACTCAATTACATAACAAAATGACTTAGCTAACTACAGCTTCTGAACCTGGCACGTGGCTCCATAGGTGGACAAAAGCAGCCACAGTTCAGAGCTGGTGGTGGTGGGTCCCAGTCTAGTTTTTATGAGAGGGTAACAGGCTTAGGTTTCAAATGCATTGCATCCTTATCAAGAAAAGCAGGATACCTTCATGATTTCCCAGAATGGCCATTATTAGTCTCTCCTGTACCAGATGGTAGAGAGGTGCTTTGCCACCTCGAGATGAAACCACAGTTCCCTCCTGTGATGGGATGAACTAGTTCATGAAGAACTTCATGAAATGACATCCTCTTTTTCCTGCCAGTCCGGGCCTTTGGCAGTACAACTCATCAGCGGGATACGGCAAGAGGAGGAAGCCACCTGGCCAACTCACACTAGGTCCAGTCTCGACCCACATTACCGTGGCACTTGAAGTCCTGTAACTTTTCTTGCACGAACTTAATTAAGGTAAAGCACAAACTGTATCACTTATTCTTGGACCCAAACATTTACATTTTAGATGTAACAATATAAAGCTACCTATCCTGGAATTCACTTCCCCAGCTATTGTTTTCTCCTTTGTTCGTGCATTTTCCTTCTGTTAACAATGGAATGAATGGAAGAGGCAAGGAGATGTTTTACTTCATAGGAATTTCACCCAGTTACGTAAGCAACTGACTAAATAGTCTCCCCTTAGAATCGGTAGCTGAGTTTTATCTGATTAGGGGACCACTTGGGGAGCAACACTGCTTAATGGCAATGTCTGGATTAACCAGCAGCCAGTTAGCCACACAGGGAGTCAGGGCAACGAGGCTTTTTCTACCCTTGATGCCCTCATCTGTTCCATCATGCATGTTGGTGGAAGATGGGCCTGTCAGACTGTGGCCGAGACCATGGTGCTGGGCGAGGAGGAGCAGAAAAGTTTGCGTTGGGATCTGGGCCTTGATATTAAAGAAGCCAACAGCCCCTAGTACCTGGGCTCACAAGGTAAGGGGAAGGCAGACATTGGGACAGGGAGCCGTGTGTCTCTGGGCCCCAGCAGCCCAGGATGGGAAGACTAAGAACGTGCATTTGCACAAATGATCACTAAATTTGTTTTTGTGGTGTTTGTTTAATGCAGACTATAATTTAAAGAAGGAAAAACTACAGTTCAAACAGGGACGTGGGATAAGAACATCTGAAAGCTCTTGGGTTCACCAAAACGCCTAAGACACTGTCCCCACAGCCCTTCTGCTGTACCAGCCCGCAAGCGCGCAGATGGAACGACCAGTTGGGACTGTGATAGATCTCTCCTCACCTCTGAAGAAGAAGTGACAGCTATGAAGGAGCAGAGAGGGCTTCCCAGAGGTCAGAGCCCACGGCGCCGGGAAGGGGGCGTGCGCGGTCCTTGCCCAAGGAGGGAGGCCAGCAGGTGCGGACCTAGTTTGGAGGGGCGAGCCGGCTGCCCCGGGGACGCCGCACGTGCGGCAGATCAGTAGCAACGGGGTCAGGCAGGAGAGAACAGCCACAAACGTCACTGATCCTCCTCAAGGGGACACTGTGTGGTGTCCGTGTATATGTACTATACATACTACCCAGGTACACACATAAATATTTAATATATAAAAAATAAAGTGCTTTCTAACAGGTCCCCCAGCAGGGACATTATAAAACATTTCACAAAACTGCAAAACAAAACCGATACAATCAAAGAACACTACAGCCAACATATGTGAACACAAACACAATATGTACAATCAGGTCGTGTCCCATGACAAACATCCTGTCATATACATGGTATATACATATATACTCTTTTACTCAATATATTATGACAATATATATTTAAAAATTTTGTTAGGCAAAAAAATAAAAAACAAAAGACAACCCTACAAAAACACAGTAAGGACCAAGCACGCGAGTCCCAGGCTGAGAGCCGGCAGGCTGCCCCCGCGGGGTGCCCCGGGGCCGCTGCGGGGGAAGATGTGCCAGCGCTCTCGCCTTGGGTGCAGCGCCTCCACGTCCTCCAAGGCACTGTGGGCCGCAGCGGTGAAGTTGGCATCACCGGTGGTGAGCAGGTCGAAAACACAGGACTGGAAATAGATGTCCTTCACGGGCATCTTCTCATGGCACTGAGCGTTGGCAGTCTCCAGTGTGTAGCCAGGCCAGGCCTGGGCCAAGGAGGGATGAGGCAGCGTGTGCCCCAGGATGGCAGACACCTGGCCCTGCCCATCGTCGATGCGCTCACTCAGGGGGCAGCCGTTCACACACAGCTGCAGGTCCTGGCTCTCCTCGTAGGACATGGCCAGATCTTCAGGCATGCGGACGGCGAGGGTCAGGTAGCGCCCCAGCTGCCGCACAAACACGGTGGTCCCTATGTAGCGGGCGTGCATCTCCACGGAGTGGCCACTCTCCCTCTCCACGATGCGCAGGCTCTTGGTGTCACCGTCCCCACTGCTCGTGCTGCCATCCACAAAGGCAGCTGGCAGGTCATCGGTCACAGCTTGGTATACTTTCTGATCTGTACACTCGCGGTGGGCTTTGAAGATGATAGTGATCTGCAGGAAGGAGCACAAAGGTTAAGACGATGGGAGGGAAATGGATGGTGTGTCCTTGGGCCGCAGGCGCCCCCCTCTGCTCTGGAGTAGAGTAGCTACAGACAGACCCTCCCAGCTCAGCCCTTCGCTCCTGCCTCACCTAGGGAACGGGGGCTCTGTGAGGGAAAATAAAAAAGTCCTATGTATTTAGAATGAAAATGTAACACAAATCCAAATCCGGGGAATGTGCATCAGGAAAAACTTTACTTTCCTAAGAACAGTGTTGCTGCTGAGATCCAGAAATTTTCACTGATAGTTTATATCTTGTCTCCTAAAAACAGATGAGCCATGGTAGAGCTCTTAAAAGAAAGATTTCCAAGTTATACAGAAACTTCAAGGGACTTAATTTAATGATATACTTACTTGAACTTTGATTTCTAAAAAGATTCTTCACTGAAGTATAAACCCTTCTCCTGACTCATCATTGCAAACCTACAGAAACAATGAGGGACCAAGCAGGCCGCTGGGGAGGGGGCCGACGACCCAGCACCGCCCCCGACACCGCCCCCCGACGGCTGGCCACGGGAAGTCCTCCGAACCTCCCGGGGACGGGTGGGGGTGGGGGAGTGCCTCACGTGACTGACTAATCCTGCGCCCGGGAAATCACTTGGCAAATGCAGAACCACACTCCCTCCCCAGCACAGGCAGAGCATAAACACCCCACACCTAGTTACAGCTACGTTCTCCCCAAACAGTGCCGTGGCCCTTTAACTGCTCAGGATTTTCTTCCCCCTGCCAACTCTCAATTCTCCAAATCAAACAGGCAATTCATGGAGCGAAAACTACTGAAAATACAAAAGTTCCCTTTAGTTAGTTCATTTTCTTTGCTTAATTAGAACAATTATCAAAAAACTGAAATTTGAGCACTTCACCTCCAACCTACTCAACGTCTCTGGTGCAGGCGGGAGCAAGAGGCCGAGGGAGAGATAGGGTTTTCCGGGTCTCCCAGGGCGGGAAAGCTGTCCTGAAGAAGACAGACAACATTTTGACATTCGTGTTACTGTCAGTAACTGACGTAACAGCTTTTTTTTTCCTTCTTAAAGAAAAAGAAAACTATCAGATGACTTAAGGAGGAAGGTGGACCCGCCGGCCAAACACTCCACACATTATTCTGGATGGAGGAAACCTCCTACCTCCTTGCAAGGGACCCAATCAAAACAACAGACCCTTGTTAAAAGGACCAGAAAATGCCCCAGCTCCCTCCTTCCCACCCCTCTCTCTACAAGTCCTCACCACCACCCTCGAGTTCATGTCTCAAGTTTTTTCCCCAACTCGGCCAGCATTTGCTCACACTGTTTAATTCCACATGTTCACCCTGGTGTTACTTGACTGGAATTTTCCAGCCATTTCATTTACTTCAGCCAGTTATAAAGCCAGATCTGAACCAGCTGCATTGTAGCAACTGGCTAAATTCATATCCGTTGTTTGCAGCTGCCACTAAAAGCCAGACAATGTACTATGAAAATGCTTGGTTTTCTCCCTTCCTATTACACTGAGCAACAATTTAATTTCACTACCAGTCTTCTCGTATTTCAACACCTCCTTAACAACCTGAATGAGGTATACCAGAGATGATTTCAGGAAATTTGTTGTGCATCTGACCAGCGGGCCTTCTAGAGTGAATGGGATTTTGAGCTAGGTATCTAATGGGACTGTAAAATAGATTTGTTGGCTTTAATGACAGCTTGACAAGTGCTTTTTAAAGGCAACTAAGATCCCTTGGAAGTGAAAAGATGAATTCAAGTAAACTCTGTATGAAAGAGTTGAAAGTTAATACACATGGCTAAAATAACAGTAATAGATTTTTCATAGAATCACTATCCTCATTTTCAACTAGTTTATACTCAAAAGATTAAATGCACTCTTCTATAATAGCTAAGTAATTTGTCTTTCTAGTCTAATAAATGTCAATTTAAATCAATTTGGCATTATTTACAAGAGTTAAGTGCTTTTACACTCGCCCAAGGAAAAACAGGGGAATTAGTTTTGTTGGGACAACAAAGCGGAGAGATTCACTTCCAAATAAGTTTCCAAAAAGGCTAGCAAGGGTCGCTATGAGATGAGTGGAATAGTTCCACGTCTTACCATGTCTCTGCTGTTTTCATTTAGCACACCAATTCCACCTCAGAAGTCACTGTAGACACTTCACACAGTACCGTCCTCTGCTGGGCTTATGACACTTAAAAATAACTCCTAGGCCTCTATACACTCAAGTAAAACTCAAAACTTGACCTCTGCACACCATCTTTACTTAAAAATATTCCAGTTCATAAACTAACAGATTTTTGTCTGCCTGTCCAATTTCCTAGGAGTGATTTTCTGTATGAGACAATGAAGCTGACATTTTTCTTGTTTCTCTTTTGGGTGAAATAATTCTTACAGAGCAGTTAGCCCTTGAATCAAAATGCTGACAGTGACAAATCCATCTCAAAGCACGAGAGGGGTTTCCTGAGTGGTTTCCTGCAGTTTAAGTATGTACTGAAGAAGCACAGAGATATAATCAATGTAAATGGGGAAAACACTAGGTAACAGTTTCTTATGACAAGTTTTGCAAAGTAATTTCATTCCTCATAGAGTTACAACACAAGCTCTTAAAAAAACAAGCAGTCAGCCACAGAGGGCTAGAAATTCATTTTCAGATTCTGTCTCCCTCTTCAGAAAAACAACATTTACTCATTCTTTTAATAATTCTTACTTTAAACACATTTAAAACTTGATCAGAATTTTTGGGAATTTCAAATGTTTTATATTTCCAACTAGAGCTATCACAGTGTAAAAACAGGACATTATTCAGAACTGTATTCTAATGCTGTCAAAATAGGTAATTTAAAAAACACCAGCCGTGCTGCTTGCTCCTCCTTTATGAACTAATCCGTATGCTGTAATAACTCAGTTTGGCACATCTGTTCTATGCCACACCATTTATTATTGATGGATGGCATTTTTGTACATTTCAGACATCAGTGCCTTTTGTTAACCACACAATCCCTCTCAATCCCCAGGTCCGACAAACTGTTCTCCTGATTTATTTTTAATATTTCACTGTCTTTAATTAAGAAGACAGAGACAGCAACCACAATCAACCTTTCCACACCTGAAAGGCAATAATGATTCAAAGTTTACTATGAAATATAAAAACTTAAGAGGCACATGCCTCTCCTTTCTACCAGAAAGACATGCAAGCCAAATGAAAACAAGATAGGCAACAAAGGAAAACTCAGGCACTGCCCTGCCAACATGTGTATCTCTCCCAGGCTTGACAGCCACGCGGAGTGCTTCTCAGGACTTTCAAACAGCAGAATCCCCCAAAGTCTGTGCAGTTCTCTATCTGTGCTTGCTGTATTTTGGAAGAAACATTTAGCAGTGTTTAATCAGGCCATTTGGCACTGCAAGTGCAGGACCTCTGGAATCCTCAAATGCCAGAACTGTACTTTTTAGAACAAGGGACTCACATCTCTTAGATCAAGATGGGCCAGCAAACTAAACAGTAACAGAAATGATCTTAGAACGCAAGGAAACACAATTTTGATATGTACATGGTTAAAATTCTGCATGTGTCAATGGAAGCTAAAATGAATTTTATTGCATATAATTAGCTGATACGTCTACTTCATCAGGTCCTGTGGGTGCAATTACAGGCTGAAAAAAAAAGATGCCTCTCAGGGAGAAAAGAAGAACATTGCTCATGGCCCCTTTTCCTCTTGCATTGCTAAGTTGCACACAGCCTCCACATCAGTCCCCTGGAGTAAGCTCAAACCAAACAGTTTCAACAAAAGCACAAGCTTTAAACAAGAAAAGATACCCATGTTCTAGCTTCAGCTCTAAAACCCCTCATCTTTATTTCTAGGGTCAATTTTCCTAAATGCTGAGAAGGCTGAGCCTAGGAAGCTCTGAAGCACCACAAAGAAGCAGGGGTCCTTGAAGGCACCAGTGTTTTCCCTGGTCTCAGCCCCTTTCTTCCTCCAACATGATAGAGAAAGTCGGAAGTATGGGTCTGATCTAGAGCAGAGCTACCCATTCAGGCTGGGAGGCCACTGGCCTTTGGTTACCTAAGATGGGAGAATTCTGTGTCTGTCCCTGTTTTTTGGAGCAGGAAAAAAAGCATATTCATCTAAAATAACTTTGTTTGAACAACTTCATATGAAGTGCACAGAAGTAGTTATATGTGCCATATTTAAGAAAAGATGTTGGGCTAGAATAATAACTGATGTCATTGATGATTTTCCTAAAAAATTAAGGAAAGAAATCTCCTAGGAAGGTATGAACTCAATGAACTGGTTCTCATTTTATAATCACTACTTAGCTTATTTATCAAATATTGACCTACAGGGTGGCTGAACTTAAGACCTACAAAAGTATGTTTTGTTCAGTCATTTTACTGGATTAGGACAAGATACTAACAGGAAGGAAGATGTGTATGTGTTTTAAGAAGAGGGTGGCAAATTAAAAATTTTACCCTACACTCTTTTTAGGGCTTGAAAGAAATGGTGAGAATCGACTACCTTTAAAAGTCCATCAAAACAGGCTTTTCACACCCTTGTAGAGTCTGTTTCCACAGAGCTGTGTCCCATGAGTGCTCACAGGATTCCCAGGAAATGGAGTGAATCAGACTTACTTTTCCTTCAGCGCACGAACAGGCTGCCTTGGGTGCTGGGAGGGTTCCCGGCAGCAGGAGGAGAAAGAAACCCAACCAGAGGGGAGGGACCCCCACAGCAGAGGCCACCAGGGTGGTCCAGGGCAGATGCATTACCCTCAGTGGCTCGAAGGGGCATGCAAAAGTGAAAGGGAGGCAAGCACAGGATAACACACACAAGAGAAAGGCATGAAAATGACTCCTCAAAAGTATTTCTGTACCCTTAAAACAAGGCAGGCTGGAAATATAAATAGGCTCAGGGACAGGGAGATTGGCCAGCTTCCCTGTACTGATCAGAGCAATGTGCTGAGTGGGAGAGGAAAGGCCC